AATTCCAGTGAATTGTTTGTATCCAATTTCCCAAACTTTACAACAAAGTGATTCCTTACTTGTCAGCATTAGTGGGAACAACTCCCTGCAAGTACAAGGCCATGCCTTCTCTCAGTCCTCCTGAAATTGGGGCCACATAAGGAAGGTTCTGCAGTGAACACAAGAAAATATGCATCAGTCTGTATTAACCGGATTCTTATTATAGGCTTTGAACTCAATGAAATAAAAAATGTGGAATATAATTAATGTTAAAAAGTGTGAATATAATCCTCAATCTCTGGTGAGATAATTGCTCTTTGATAAAATAATTCTAATGCATTAGTGTTTTTTAAGTGCTGGCACTTTGTTGTGCCATCAGACATCACTGAAACTGATCAATCACTCACAGGGTTTTGGACTGGCTGCAAGATCTCTAAATGTACAGTGGAACGTTTTCCTCGTGGGCTGCCCAGATATTCAGTTGTTGATTTGACTTTAGTAACAAATGGGGATGCACTCCAGTTCTAAAGAGGGAATAGAGAGGGTGTGTTAAGAAAGGTCTTTACTTGCCATGTCATTCTCACTGGATTCTGACACAGTACCATTCATGCTGCAATACTTTCCCTGCTGAAAAATCCAGCATAAACCGGCATGGATTCCAAGCTGGTCCATGCTGGCTTAGGCTGGTATAGTGTTGGTCCAGGCTGCTTTATGCTGGTATAGTGCTGGTTTAGGTTGGTTTATGCTGGTATATTACTGGTTTATGCTGGTTAGTTCTGGTATAGTGTGGGCTTAGGTTGGATTATGCTGGGTATAGTGCTGGTTTATGCTGGTATAGTACTGGTTTATGCTGGTTAGTTCTGGTATAGTGCGGGTTTAGGTTGGATTATGCTGGGTATAGTGGTGGTTTGTGCTGGTATAGTGCTGGTCCAGGCTGGTTAATGCTGATATACTGGTGGACTAGCATATCCATGCTGTTCTCAAGCAAAATGGAGCTGGTGATACTGGGTCACCAGCATGGGCTTTGTAGGGTTGAGTGTCAGTAGGCCAGCTGTCTGTATGCAAGTAGTATTTTGGGGACAAACATAGTTTTTGCTTGCATATATCTATATTTAACACATTAATGATGTAAAGGAAAAACAATATAAGGGTAAAACATATGAGTTTTTGAGTTATATAATAACTGTGTAATTTATTTTCTTCCCTCTGCTGAAAGTAGAACTGAAAGAGCTCTTTCAACGGGACAGTTAATAACAATTTCATAATGAAATTTCAAAACGGAAAGTTGTTGTTTTTAAAGACTTTCATGCTAATCTGGGAAGTCACATACGTCCAAATCCCGCTGTCAGTCACTGATTTAAAAAAGTGCACATACTGTAGTAAAAGGTATGGCAGTGCAGTCAGGTTCATTAAATATTATTGAAAATAATGATAGCGTTCACTTTTAACAATTGCTGAAACAGAGTTAATTCAATCAAAGTCAATGGTCAAGTGCCCAACTAAAGGGAACATTAATCACCATAATGATAACAAATTTTACCAACCTTTGTGCATGTATCATATGAAAGAAATAAAGCCAAACTGGTTTGCAATAAGTGAATAGGGAAATTCTGTTTTTGCAGTTGTTTAGTAATCCTCTGGTGAGATATTGATTAATTTATCGATTGATTAATATGCAACACATAATATGTAACAATTATGCAAGTTTTGTTGTGGTCTTGCTGGGATGACACCAGCACC